TACTCATAGAGAGGGGCACACTTAGATACCCACACAGACATATATATATATATATATATATATATATATATATATATTTGACATCTATGCATTGATTATATGGTTAAATTATCCTCAATACATTAAACCTTTTGTCGGACATATATTCATATACCTGAATATATATATATATATATATATATATATATATATATATATATATATATATCGAATTCGACGTATGAGGGTCAAGCAGATTAGTTCCCAGGGAACCGACAGCAGCACAAGAGATTTGATTATAGTGGTGAAGGTTTCGTGGAGGACCATCCACACTTTTTGAAGGGCCGAATACAGAGACCTGGTACAGTACGTGTCACAGGCTCCCCAAACGACCCTCCGCAGGTTTTGAATTCAGAGTTGTCCTTCTCCTAGACCAGTTGCCATCCAAGGCTATAGAACCCAGTCTGTTCTGCTATTTACCCATAGCTGGAGGGAGAAGAAGAGGATTCATACCTCATTCATATATATATATATATATATATATATATATATATATATATAGGGTTGCTGCGGTAACCACGATTCTGATAGGAATTTTACGAAGTGAAACAGATTTTTCCTGAATTTTTTCCTGATTGCTGATCTGTAGTTTCTGGTGTTCTGTAGGAAATATAACGCCTAACTCTGGATTTGAATTGGCCAATATTGTATTGATTGGTAAAACATGCTAACGGGTGTCTGTTCTAGAAAGCATCAACTCTTAGGAAATAGAGTTCGAGTGGAACTTACTCCTTACTAATGGAATACAAAGAGAAACAGGATGATTCAGCTTTGGTATCTGTTATATGTGTGATTTTTTTATACAATAAAGTGATCTGTTTCCATTTGTTTATTGCTGTGTGTACCCACTTCTGTGTGTTCTTTAGTGTATATCAATCTGTTTTATTTCGCAATGGTATTTATATCTGTCCCTCTATATTTCTTTTCATGCTTAACAATCTACAGTACATTATATTTTATTATGTAAGTCAAAGTCTACGAAATTGTTATTGAACAATCGATGTGACTAAAACCTCCACGATATACCTAAACGTCATGTTATCATCATGGTATTATGTTAAATTCAGTTTACTGTATTTATTCAGGGTTGTATGATTTTATTACGCTACTCATTGTTTGTTCATCATATTGTAAAGAAATCTATATGATAGTATTTTTATTGTCTTTGTTTATTTCTGACATTTAAAGATGCAGATGTATTCATTCCGTTTAGACACAACCCTGTTGCTGCAGTAGATTTACCTGTTGTTCCCCTATCACTGTAATGATTTACGGCCAGTGGTGTCATCCAACCGGTTCGCGCGAACCTATTCTTAAAATTATAAAACCTTAATAAATTGGTTGTTGGATTATCTGAAAATAGTCTTATATATTAATAGCCGGTGTTCTAGGTAAAATGTTAGTTACGCTACGAACGTATAATGCAAATCTAAAAGATACATGACCCCTACCTTTTTCAAGTTAGAAATGTGGCAAATCTTCTAGTCATAAATTTGATAGATCTTCCATTGGATCTTTGTGAGTGCAGCGAAACAATTTAAATGTGGCTAAGAAACAATAACACAGATGGTGACACTTGAATCAAAAAAGTATCATTCTTCTGAATAGAAATATGATGAAAAAGATAATTTCAATCTGGAAATACCTTTATAAATAAATGTTTTCTATTACATTATCAAAATGGTTTAATTCTTTTTGAGACAATAAAGTGATTTCTTTCCATTCTCAGATTGAAAAGGAAAATTAGCAAAATAGCTTCCTAATGATTATCTGTCTGTATAGAACCTGTTCATGGAAATCTCGGATATCACAGAGATATACACCTATCTTTCTTTGTGTGCGTGAATGAGAGAGCGAGTAAAAGGTTTGGTATACATAGATATTAAAATCATCACGATATGGTCAGTTGTACGCTTTAATAAACCATCGGGCCATAAAAAATTAACAAATCTATCACCTAAAAATATAGCAAATATAAATGTTACGTATATACAGTGGTGGCATCCTTCCGGTTCGCAAGAACGGATTCTTAAAATTATAAAAGCTTAGGAAACCGGTTATTTGATTATCCGGATATAATCTTATATATTAATAGCCAGTCGTCTAAATAAAATGTTAGTTAGACTACACTTGTATGCGCCCGGTGAAAATAATGTGGCTAATCTTCTTGTCATAAATTTGATAGATCTTCCATTGGATCTTTGGGACTGCAGCGATTCAGTTTAAATATGGCTAAGAAACCATAACAGATGATGACACTTGAACCAAAAACCATCATTCTTTTGAATAGAAATGTGATGAGAAAGATAATTTCAATCTAGAAATATCGTAATATATAAATGTTTTATTATTATTATTATTAAATTATCAAAATTGTTTAATTCTTTTTGATAAAATAAAGTGATTTGTTTCCATACTTTGATTGAAAAGAAAATAAGTAGAATAGGTTCATAATGAACCT